GGGGTGGGCGCACAGCCGCAGGCCCTGACCCCTGCCCCTTCCCGCAGTACATCCATGCAGCTGGCGTCGTGCACAGGGTGAGTGGGCGCAGCCTCTGGCTGTACGGGAGGACAGCCCGTCCCTCCCCTGCCGGTGCTGGCGGGCACACCGCGTGTCCAGCGTCCCCCCCTCCCCCGCGGCGGGGCGGTGGCGGCTGGCTCCCGCCTGCGGGCTGCTGCCTCGTCTGCTCTGCCGGGCCACCATGGCCGCTCTCGCCTTCCAGGACCTGAAGCCGGGCAACCTGGCGGTGAACGAGGACTGCGAGCTGAAGGTGGGTGGTGGGGGCAGTGCGCAGGGGCCCCACTGCCCGCCGCTCCCGGGGCCGCAGGCCCGGAGGCCCTCCCGCCCAGCCCAGCAGCTGGCCCCTGCCCAGGAGGCCGCCTCCGCGGGCAGCACCTGCTGCCCAGTCCCTGGCTGGGGCTGGCAGGGGTTGAAGGAGGGGCCCCTGCGTGCCAGCTCCTAAGGGGGGTAGGCAACATCGGTTGAACTGGCCACTGGAGAGAGACTGTGGGGAGCCCTGGCATCTGGCCGAGACCGAGCCTGGAGGGTTGGCAGGGGCTGGTGGTGCAGCTGGTCCCGAGGCCTCTGGCCGCAGCCTGGCCGCAAGCCCTGGACACCTCTGCTGTGCCTTCCTGGTCTGCCGCAGATCCTGGACTTCGGCCTGGCCCGGCAGGCGGACAGTGAGATGACCGGGTATGTGGTCACCCGCTGGTACCGGGCCCCGGAGGTCATCTTGAATTGGATGCACTATACGCAGACGGGTGAGCAGCTGCCCGGGGCGTGGTGCCTCCAGGCGGGCGGCACCCCTGCCCCGTCCCCCCGAGATGGAGGGGTGTGGCTGCCCCTCAGGAGAAGCCTGCTGGGCAGGGTGGAGTTGGGCAGGGCACAGCCGTCCGCGTCCCCTGGCCGCCCCTCTGCCCGGCCCGTGTCCCTGATGCGGGCTTCTGTCCTAGTGGACATCTGGTCAGTGGGCTGCATCATGGCGGAGATGCTCACTGGCAAGACGCTGTTCAAGGGCAGCGACCGTATCCTTGGCCTGCGGGGAGGGCGGGGGCGGGGCGGCCGCTGCTGCCTGCTGTGCTCCTGACCTCGCTCAGACCTGGACCAGCTGAAGGAGATCATGAAGGTGACCGGCACCCCACCTGAGGAGTTTGTGCAGCGGCTGC